TGTGTGTGTGTGTGTGTGTGTGTGTGTGTGTGTGTGTGTGTGTGTGTGTGTGTGTGTGTGTGTGTGTCGTTCAAAGATGCGTAGGATGCTAGTTTAACATATTCTTATCTAGAATTTTTCAATCTCGCGAACCACTTGCGCGAAAAGTACGCGGGCTCACGATAGCGGAAAATGAATGCCCTGACGCATAAGTGTATTCTCGTGTAGTAAAGACGGGGTGTTAGTCATTCGGCCTCACGTGACTACGAACTTACATGTCGGTGGCGAGCACCGCTGCGCCCTATCTGGAATCTTTCAATTTCTCATACTTTCTACGTGCGAGAATCGAATCGTGGTTACCAATCGTCTAGAAACGTGCTTGTACGCAAGATTTGAAACCATGCTTGATAACGGCGCTTTATATTTGTAGTCACGTATAGAGGATATCCCGGAAAAACGCGCTACAAAAATTTGAAAGACCCCGAGGCGCAATATGTTAAGATAAGTATAATGCACAACGATATTTATGACACAGCAGTAAAGCCATAATCGTACTGTGCTTTAAAACTCTACATTTTTTAAGGAGAATGCGTGCTGCTACTTCCATTATTTCGTAATCTTCAGTTAAGTCGCGGAAAACCGCAATTTTGAATTCCGCCGCATACATTTTGCATGCACGCGTATTAAGTCCGTCCCAGCATATAAAAGCGTAATTACTGTAATATTCAGTAAATACGCGTACAATCCAAACAACGGAACTCTCGGTAAGCTGATCATCGATTTACTCGTATTACGTAAATTACAAAATTGCTTGTAGAAATTAATTAACGTAGGTTCAATATAGGTAAGTTCTGCAAATGAAATTTAATAATGCAGTATGCGCAAACGTTCATTGGAGGTAATTTTGATTTATTTTAATATAATCAATTTCGAAATACTTAATAAAATTATGACAAGTATATTTTAGAAATTAAATTTAATTACAAGAGTGGAATGGAAAGTCTTTCCCTTAGATTTGAAATGAACTTTTTTTTTTTTTTTAATAATGGAGGAAGACGGCTTCCCTTTGTCGCTAAAGTAAACGTCGACTATTGCTAATTACGGGATCACGTGCTTCGAAACCGAGGGATGTATTCATGATAAGGTCCTTGCATGACCTTAACGAGACCTCTAGACGAGCATAAATCCAACAATCGTGCGAGAAAGAACGCGTGCGCGATTAACATCAAAGCGGCAAACGTAATTTTGTTGGCTCTATAATTGTTTCACGTCTATTCTAATGAATAAAAAAAAAAATAATATTTCTTTTTACAAGAGCCACAACGATACATCTTTTACATCTTTAAGAGGTTGTGTGAAATGAAACCGCAACAACCTCGTTATAAAGATCGCGGAGGAACTTTTTTCCTCTGGTTCTTCCTTCTCTCGCTACGCTGGTTGATAGCCGGTTTTAATTCTCCCTTCGCCTCCGACGCCAGAGAGTATAGTAATGACGGACATTAACCAATTAGCGCCAGCGCTGCCCTCCTCATCTTTCTCCGCCAGGTTACTCTTAAACGGTCCGCAGAAAGACGTTCCAAAACGACCGACTATTTTCGGCGCCATATGCCGACGAAATATACGCGCGCGCCGGATCTACCGCGGTTCGGCGAACCTTTAAAGCGCGAGCGGATATATTATTTCTCTGACGACTGCGCCTTTTTGCAGTGTCCTTTGCGGATGCAATTAATCTCTACATGGTTTAACTCTTTACCATACCTAGACATTTCGAATATCGTATTTCGTTCCCCTCGAAAGGTTCTGTATGCAGATGAATTCCAATTGAAATTCTACACACATCACATTAATATTAGGTTGCCTCATTTACGAGTTCATATTATTTGAACCACTTCAGATTTCGATTACCTCAAAAATTTCAATAACATTTTTTAACGTAAAATGGTTGTGAAAAAAAATACAGTAAGTTATAATTCTGTAATCATATTAAATAACTTTCACGTTAAGCTTATGGCTGTGTTAATATGAAAATAGAAATAAAATGGGAAAAAACGGAAATATGAATACGCCATTCTTTATGACTCACAAATAATAATTCTACCAAAATACTATAGGTAGCAAAATATAGAAAAATATTATCTCTATTAATATTGTTATGTGGAATATTTCGCAAGACAAATAATTTTTGAAGAAATTATCTACTTCAAAATTTATCTATATGCCTTTAAAAATATGTCTCTTTGCATTTTCTCATTACATTTCCTTTTCTTCTTATATACATATATATAGTATATATATATATATATATATATATCAAAGAAAATACTAAATACTAAGGAAAATAGACAGCAAAGGGTTAAAGATGAATATTTCAAACGTACCGTCCGTCCCAAAGGCTATGAGACTGTTAACTAAATTATATGCAGATCAACTCCGAGAAATCTCATGATTGAAAGCATAAGTAATAGCTAAAAATGTATTTACTAGTTCAAAGCTCTGTGTGACACTGGGACGCTTCTTTACTGATGGTTAAATATTCATGTACGGTATATATATGCCTATACTATGACGAGTATAATTGAATATTTATAGATGTTCGAGATAAAAGGTTCAGAGACTATATATTTCTATGAGAGGACGTATTCTATGCCCTTTAAATCCATTGAAAAATTATATATGTGCCGAACAAATAAACCGGAGAATTCGGGTGCCGTATTTTATAATTTGGTACGCATTGTACGATAGGCATACAATGAGCTAACTGCATAAAGTGCTGCGATTTTTGGTGTTACAAACGATCCAAAATAACTATGAAAAATATTATAAAAAAGAATTGCAATAACAACTACATCGCAACGTTATTGTGAAATGAAAGCAACTACTCTCATTTTGTATGACGAATACGTGAAGCTTTTCTGCCGCGTATTAACTTGATTCCGACCCTGTTTCTCTTTATTCCAAATTAAAACAAACGTTCTCATGCTGCTACACAATATGCTCTCGCCTACGTACTTTTTCTTTTTTTCGCCAAAATCCAATTTACAGCAAAATAAAATGAATTCAAACTGGACGGTGTTAATCAAGATTTCAAAACGCTTTGAAAAATTAATCATGAAAAAAATTCTCGCTGGAATTTAATAATACACGCTCACGCTCAACATTTAATTAAAATAGTCTCAAATTACAATTTTCCGCAAACTCCTTGCATTATTACATAGTATCACGCTTTCCGAAGTATTTCTTTCTAATAGAGAGAAACTACCGGCCGATTGTTTCACGGCGCACTGCTTCAAAATGTTGTACGAGTAGTATGGTATATTACTCACCCCTCACAGCTAATGCGCAAAGTTGCACCTCATCCGACGGGACACAGTTTGGAAGGATGGCCGCGCGCGCCGTCACACACACTCTCACATACACGATAACCCTGGAGGAGAAGGACGACGAAGGGGGACGTACGAAGGGACCAGGTGGAGTTCGAGCAAAAGTTAGGCTAGGTCACGTCAACGACAGATTACGTCGAAGACGATCTATCTCTCCCGCCGTGCGCACATCCGCTGAAAAGGATCCTCCTCGTACACGCGAGAGGACGTCTGCACGCGCACGAATTACAGGCGTTCTAGCGTCGTTGGCTGGAGCCCAACTCCGCCCAGTATATCCCTTTGAACGTCAATCGGTGTGCACTCGATCGTCGACGAACGTCGTTTGACGCGTAGATGACGAATTCGTGCGATCGCCTTTTGAAAGAGAACGCGCCACCGTTCGATCTCGCGGAGTGAAGTGGACCCTTTTTCGCGTTTCGTCGTTCTCTCGTCGTTCTCTCGTCGTTCTCTCGTCGTTCTCTCGTCGTTCTCTCGTCGTCGCGACGTTCCTCACGAATAGAAAACGAGCCGCCTTTATCGGATTTTTCATTCACTCGAGCGTATCGTCGTGCGTTTATGCGGCAGTGGATATCGAGCTGTGAGCTTCGATGACGGCAGTTTCATCGCGTCGCTCCGTTTAACGTGCGATAGTTTCGCGTGACAGCTCGAAGCGGCCTGCGATTGTATGGATCTGTCATACGTCAATCGGTCTGCGCGTACTGACGAATCATTTATAATTGAGCAACGCTCATCGGCAACGATCTCGGTATTCCATGTTCTAATGGATGTTTCGTCGCGAGCAAAGAATCGATAATTTATAATCGCGGTGCGATTAGAGATCACGATTATTCAAAATATCTGTCTGTGGACTCACTCTCACGCTTCGTATCTGTCAACGTATTCGAAGCGCAACGTTCAGGAATGTACAACGTGGTACGTCTCGCATGGCAAGTTGACGTATGCGCACACGCACACAACGGAGTCGCGGAATTGCGAGAGAGGGTAGAACACCACCCTATCCGATGCGCGGTTCGAGTACGACTGAGCGAGCCGACTCGAGCTCGGCGAGCCGAAAGCCACGAGCCGCGTCGTCAACCAACCGGCGACGACGGACCAATCAGCGCTATTCTCCGCGCAAGCAGCCAGATACTCAATGATTGACCATATGCTCGCACTATCGTGCGTACGGAGTCTAACGTATAAATGAAGCAACAGAGAATTATACGAAAAAAAAAAAAAAAAAACATCTCATCAAGACTTGTCATCAATGGCTTGCTAGGAATCTCTCTCATTTGGACCACTAAAAGTTTGGAATAAATTATTCTAATATATAATTTTATCATATAAATAAAACATACAGAAAAATACATATGTAAATAATAAGCTTTCATCTTCAGCAAATGAATTTTTTCTTACATTCATAATTAAAAAAAAAACACTAACGATATCTCATTAAGATTTGTGTTAATGTTTACTAAAAAATCTCTCATTTGCAATAAATATTGTAATGTTATAATTGTAGCATATAAATGAAGCATATAGGAAAGTATCAATTATAATAACTTTTCACCTTCAGCGAATAAATTTTTTTCTGTATTCATAATTTAAAGCAACATGATAATATATTTTCCCAGAAAATTAAGATGCGTTATTAATTTCCCTTTATTATACACACACAAAGATTATACATATATAAAGATCTCACGCTGCTTTAAATTCTTACAATTTCTGTTTTATATGTATAATGAAATTAATCTGTAAAAGAGCACAAGTACACGAATTTATTTATTTTATTCTTAGAATTAGTTTCATACGTATTTATTGGGATTATTTTCCAACCGTCCATTATCGTTATACAAACCGTATACAGACCAAAATGATTTAAAACTCTGCCAAATCTGCAGATTTATCGTATTAGATAATCTACAGAAGAATTATAAGTAATTTAATTTGGGATAAATCAATGCATATTTCAATCTTAATTCGCACTTTATCTAAAAAGCGAGATTAAATTAAATAAACAATAGTCTTAATATGCATCCATAAATCCAAAAATCTGATGATCTTAATACGGTGACTAAAAGATGATTTCCAATTCTATTTATTAAATTGTTATAAATAATTCATTTTTAATACTAAACTTCAATAAATTATAATTTTCACTTTGTGTTTACGGATTATTTATATCATAAATAGAACAAAACATACAGGGTGTCTCGAAATTTATAAATCAAAATATCACAATACAAAAATTTTAAAAAATTTACGTAAAAAAAATTATTTGCAAATTATTATTTTACGTAATAGTTTGTGAAATAAGATGAGAATTTAAATATATCCAATTATGGATTATATTTAAACAGACTACGCTTAAACACTCGAGTATACACTTAATACTATCGTATGCGCGGATTTATTTCATAAATAACCTACGTTTAAACGTAATCAGTTATTGCTCTAATTAATTATTACCCTTATATCTTAAAAACTATTATTCGAAATAAAAATGTCAAAAATAAAGAAGGACAAATTCAAATATAAATGTGTGTAATAAAACTTTAAACGTTTATTACACACATCTATATTCGAATTTAACTCTAATTTGTCTTTTATATTCTTGATATTTTTATTATTTAAAAAAGTTCTTTAATTTAATTATTGAATAAGAATGTACACGTAACTTTTTTTAGTCGAAAACTTTCTTGCTGTGGTATTTTGATTCGCGTATTTCGAGATATTTTCTGTATAAAGGTTTAAAAACACAATGATTCATCCAATTATCTTGTATTATTATAAATTAAAGCAAGAGATTATTTATTGAAATCTATTTTATATTAAGTATATAAAAAAGTCTGAATTGCTCATTAATCTTTCGCTTAACTTTTGCTTCTTTCAAATCCATAATCAAATGACATTAACTCTGTACTACTTGCTCGTGTTTACAGACTGTTTTCTTTTGCGTAAGTAAAAAACTATTCGTGTATGCAAGTCAATATCGAGAGTGCTGAATGAAGTACCGTGTGATCGCTTAGCCTGTTTCGCTGTGTGTGCGATCGTATTTCACGTTGGCATATTGCCGTATATTCTGAATGACCGGCGCGTATACATACGGTGTACGCATTTCCTAATTTTAAGATACTAAATATATCGCAATGGCTGATATAAGTATATAAATGAACATATTATATAAAAAACTATCATCTGTAAATTTTGATTTAAAAAATGTATAACATTCTAAATATATTATAAAATTCTAAATATATTATGTTGTATTATACGAGGAAAAAAAATATATATAATGGTTTTTAGCTTTACTTTTGTAAACAACGCTGAGAAAAACTGAATTATATCTTTTAATGTTTTTATTTGCTAATCGAACATGAAAATAAACGATAATTATAATATTACAACGATATGATCATAATAATATATATTATAAATAATACAAGACCGCGTATTATAATGTATTCCGATATTATAATGTATTCTTCAATATTTATATTCATATAAAAGAGCATCTATACGAAGTTGAAGTAAAAGAGTTTGGAGTAGAAGTTGCTACAAAGGATGAAACAGCTGACGGCGATACAGCGGCTGGAGA